CTGGGTTACATCTTTTCTACCTTCCAGTGATCCTTCCATCATGACATGTCAAGATCTCCCCTTATTACATCAATTTGGCATGTTCAGTCCAGTTTTCTTTGTCTAAGATATGGAGCATGTGTAGTCATAATCTCTTTTTTCTCCTTGGCACATACATACAAAAACCATGTTCATCAGTGATAAAATATTTCAAACTATGTTTCAAAGTCATGTTCCAGAAATGTAGATATCTTTTGGTGAACAAAGCATTGTTATGAGTTTTACATTCTCCTTGGCACATACATACAAAAACCATGTTCATCAGTGATAAAATATTTCAAACTATGTTTCAAAGTCATGTTCCAGAAATGTAGATATCTTTTGGTGAACAAAGCATTGTTATGAGTTTTACATGTATACAACAAGTTCTCAACACCTTACAAAATGTGGCTTCTGATAAAAAATATTTCTACTAGCTTCACTGCTGTTTGGGTCTGGTCTTCAGACATTTCAAGATTATATTCAATTCAAACAAAGCAGTATTACATGTCTTTGAGGCCTAGATACAAAATGTCACTAACTCAGGTCCTGGCAGGGGTTCCCCCACTTTTGGGGGGTTCAGTCTGCCCCCAGTGCAACCGCCCACCTGGCCACCCATCACCTACCCCTCCTGCCTGATTTAAAGGTCTTCTGCTGATCAATGGGGACCACGTGGCCTGCCAACCAGCTGGAGGGCCCTTAAAATCTCGTGAGAAGGAGGGAGAGGGGAGGTTGTGGGGTCTTTTAAAGGGTCTTTTTGTGGGGGGCCCGCGCAGTGCATGGTGCTGATTTCCCCCAGCCCCATGCACCATGCCCCCCCCAAGCTAAGCATGCAGGCCCACAACCACCCCTCTCCCTCTCTCCTGCTAGATTTAAAGGACCCTCCAGCTGGTTGGCAGACCACATGGTTCCTGCCAATCAGCTGAAACCCTTTAAATCAGGCAGGAGGGAGAGGGGTGGCCAAGTGGGTGGTTGCTCTTGGGGGTGGGGATTGGGGGCATCCCCACCCACCCCTGGAACACCCCTCAAATCCTCCCCGCTGGAGCGATGAGGGGACCTGGCAAGCCTAAGCATTACACCTCACTGAGGTCCTTCCCCTTCCCAAACCCTGCCCTCACCAAGCTCCACCCAAGCTCCAGGAATTTCCCAACCAGGAGTAGGCAGCCCTAGTCAGACAGCAGGAGTATAAGTCCTCTGCTCCCACTTCCACAAGCCCCAGTGGTGTCCATGTAGTTCTCGCAGTCATGTGTCTCCTACAGTTTCCCCCTCAGACCTCTACCCTCTCCTTTCCCTCCCTTTTCCTCTGCCTTCTCCCTCCTCCCATCAGGAAAAAAGCAACTATTACTTACGTCAGAGTCAGGACTATTGGGAAAGGCAATCAATCACGTGGTAATTCTGTTACCATATGCTCAATTGTCATCTTGTTTTGCAGAAGCAACAGAGGATATGAGGCTATGCTTACTGAAACCAAACTCTCTGGTTACTCAGCTCTCCAACAAGTGTTAGGATGGATAAACCCACAACCACATCCAGCAGCTCTTCCCTAGCAGTAGAGAACCCAGGTTTGTAACCAATACTCTCTCTAAGCTGTGGAGTCTTGTTTGTGTTCTACTTTGTGAGCTACTGGCATTAAATCCCTTTTCCTCTGCCTTCTCCCTCCTCCTCTCAGGAAAAAAGCAACTATTACGTCAGAGTCAGGGCTATTGGGGAAGGCAATCAATCACGTGGTAATTCTGTTACCATATGCTCAATTGTCATCTTGTTTTGCAGAAGCAACAGAGGATATGCGGCTATGCTGACTGAAACCAAACTCTCTGGTTACACAGCTCTCCAACAAGTGTTAGGATGGATAAACCCACAACCACATCCAGCAGCTCTTCCCTAGCAGTAGAGAACCCAGGTTTGTAACCAATACTCTCTCTAAGCTGTGGAGTCTTGTTTGTGTTCTACTTTGTGAGCTACTGGCATTAAAGTTGTGAGCAATCAATTTGGTTACTGCATAAATTAGTTTGCTCTGGAGCCATCCTTCCTGAGCTATGACAAAAATGTGTGAGCTAGCTCACATTAACTCATCTTAGAGGGAACACTGTTTGTGACTGTAATTAAAGTGTCAGTTGTCTGGGTAGGAAGCATGAACTGCTCCTGTTCTCACCATTACCACACAAAGGGGAAAGACTAGATAATAAAAGTCTTTGTATCTGTGTCAGACCTGATGGGGGCCTTCATATGCACACAAGCAAAGCAAGCAATATCAGTAAAGATAAGAGTGATTAGATTGTGTGAATTGGAGGCCACCTACACCAGGGGTCTTCTATCTCACCTACAGTAAGTGGTAATTTTTTAACCTCTCATTAATTGAGTATACATTTTCAGAACAGTGAAAGATGGGATTTATATTTACTTGTAGTAAGATTTGTTGGAAGAGAAGGCTTAGATGCTGTCTCAAGACTCAGCCTCCCGGGGGTGGGGGGACAAACAAGTCAGTGAGATAGACAGGCAAACTGTAGGTTTTCTTCCTGTTTACTCTCCTGTCACTGTTATTTGAAGTAGACTGATAGATTATAGGGAAATTGTCTTTCTTCCTTCCATTTCCCCTCACACACTCACTATCTCTCTTTTCTCTTGCATACATCCATGATGGAGGCTAGATGCCTCTTTGCATCCATTGAAGGTAGTTTAGGTTAGTTCTGTCTCTGTCTCTTAAGCTTTACTATCTAGAATGTACTTCCAAAATAAAAGGAATATTATTAGTCTTGAAACTGAAAAAAGTGGCTCTGTGTAATTTTGTAACTCTGCTACCACACGGAGAACAAAGGGCTTCTACTGCGAGTAGCCAAGGTGCACTCTGCTAAACTGAGAAGCGATACTGGACAAACGAGCCAGTTACTCCCAACAAGATGATCGCTATCCTGACTTGGATAGCCCAAACTAGCCCAATCTTGTCAGATCTCAGAAGCTAAGCAGAGCCAGCCCTGGCCAGTATTTGGATGGGAGACTACCAAGGAATACCAGGGTCATGAGGCAGAGGCAGGCAGTGGCAAACCACGAATGTCTCTTGCCTTGAAAACCCTACGGTTTATATATTACCTCTGTGGCAGCTGATTGTATATATGATTCTGATCCATAATCATTGGAGAGATGGGTGTGCCTTTTGATCAAGGAAAAAAGTAGTTCTCTGCTGGTAATCATTACTGTGCTATTTCATCATGTAAATGCTCCAAACATTATACATCAATGGAGCTAGGCATTTTTGATGGGAGTTACATTAATTTGAAAAGCCTGAGTTTGTAAGGTACAAAGAGTGAGAGACTGAAATAATTCAGTTCCTTATGTTTTGCTTCTGTTTTTTCTAAAGAGGTAGAGTCAGACTTTCTCCGAAGTGTGCATGCTCTTCTTCGAGAACTTGATGGTCAACGTCCAGCCTTCCAGAGTGAGCAAGGTAAGGGCCACTTTTTTCCTAGTACTCTTTGGCCTTGTGAGAGTTTGGGTCGTATGTCTTAGACTTCCATACCCACAGCAAGCCGGAGTAGAGGAATCCTTGACTTCTTTGTCAGCAGGCTGCTGTGTTAGAAGCCCCAGAGCTTCTGTTTCTGAATATAAGAACATAAGAGAAGCCAATGTTGGATCAGGCCAATGGCCCACCCAGTCCAACACTCTGTCACACAGTGGCCAAAAATACCAGGTGCCATCAGGAGGTCCAGCAGTGGGACCAGGACACTAGAAGCCCTCCCACTGTTGCCCCCCAAAGCACCAAGAATACAGTGCATCACTTGCCCCAGAGTGAGAGTTCCTATCTATACTTTATTTATTTATTTATTACATTTATACCCCGTCCTCCCGGTTGTGGCCGGCTCAGGGCAGCTTACAACAGGATAAAAACAAAAATAAATAGTATAATAATCATAAAACCATGTAACAATTACAACATTAAAAGGTGCTAACAATAAGTAATATCATTAAACAGATAAGTTCACCATTACATTTGGGATGGCGCTCAGACTTCCGTGCCATCCTGGTGGTCAATCTCAATCTAATATTGTGTGGATGGCTCAGGATGCCTCAAAGATTTCAGGTGACAGGGCATTCTCCCAGAGCAGCTCCTAATTGAATGCCTGATGGAACAGCTCAGTCTTGCAAGCCCTGTGGAACTGCATAAGGTCCCGCATGGCCCAGATCTCCTCCGGGAGCTCGTTCCACCAGAGAGGAGCTGCCACCAAGAAAGCTCTAGCCCTGGTTGAAGCTAACCTGGCATCCTTTGGTCCAGGAAGGGTGAGTTGGTGTTGAGACCCTGATTGCAGTGCTCTCTGGGGGACATGGGGGAAAGGCGGTCCCTCAGGTATGTAGGTCCCTGACCATAAAGGGCTTTAAAGGTAAGAACCAGCACCTTGAAACGAATCTGGCTGCTACCTGGGTCTCCATTGTTAAGGAGGCATCCAGGAGCACTCCCAAACTCCTAACCTCCGGCGCTGGCACTAGTGGAGCCCCATCGAAGGTCAGGAGTGGGATCCCTACCTCTGGTCTGCCCCGACTCAGGCACAGGACCTCACTCTTCATCAGACTCAATTTGAGTCGATTCGGCCTAAGCCAACCAGCCACGGCTTCTAATGCCTGGTCAAGATCTTCTGGTTTGGAGTCAGACCGGCCGGCCAACAACAGATAGAGCTGGGTGTCATCAGCATACTGGTGACATCCCAACCCGGGTCTCCGTACAATCTGGGCAAGGGGGCGCATATAGATGTTAAATAACATTGGGGACAGCACGCCCCCTAAGGCACTCCACAATCAAGTGGGTGCCTTTGGGAAAGCTGTTCCCCCAGTGCCCCCTTTGTCCCCGGCCTCGGAGGAAGCAGATGAGCCATTGCAAGGCAGGCCCCTGGATTCCAGTGTTGGCGAGGCAGTGGGCCAGTAGCTGATGGACAACTGTGTCGAACGCAGCCAACCGGTCCAACAGTACCACCGATCTGCCTCGAACCAGATGCCTATCCCCCCCCCCAAATCAAGCATTTCAGTTCCCTGATTTTACCTTGGACACTTCTAGCATTTGTGTATAAATACCTATAGTTTCCCATGCATGTTAAGCCCATAACCTTCCTCTTGCCACCTTGAGACCTTGCCAGGCAGACCATATCATTAGCCACCGTCTCAGTGGACAATTCTAGTCCATTTCCCTTTAGAAAAGTAACAGCTACCCCTTCATCTCTTTGAGATGAGCCATCCCGAACCAGAGACCTTTCATCTCTTGTCGGCTTTCCCCCAATATTCAGTTTAAAAATTGCTCTGCCACCTTTTTGATTTTAAGCACCAGCAGCCTGGTTCCTTCTTGGGACAAGTGGAGACTGTCTCTTTTGTACAGCTCCCTCTTGTTCCAAAAAGCATCCCAGTACCTAACAAACTTGAACCCTTCCCCCCTACACCATTGTCTCATCCACACATTGAGACTCCTGATCTGTGCCTGTCTCTCTGGCCCTGTGTGTGGAACAGGTAGCACTTCTGAGAAGGCTACCTTGGAAGTCCTGGCCTTGAGTGTCTTGCCTAGCAGCCTAAATTTTTCCTCCAGGACCTGACGACTGCATTGCCCCTTATCGTTGGTGTCAACACGTACCATGACCACTGGCTCCTCCCCAGCACTATCTACCAGCCCATCTAGAACATGTGTAATGTCCACTACCTTTGCACCAGGCAGGCAAGTCACCATACGGTCAGCTGTCTGCCTATCTAAGTGATCAAATTACCAACTACCAAGAGCCCCCCTCCCTCCCTGCCCAGGGATGGTTCCTTGGTGCAAAAGGATACCCGTTCACCAGCTGAAGAAGAGGTCCCTTCTGAAGGCACATTCCCCTTATCTGCAGCACGGTGGCCTGTTTTCTCTCAACCCTCATGCTCCCTGACAGCGGTGGGGCTGCCATATTCAGAGTGGGACATATCTAACAAGTCCCTGAGAGTCTTCTCCATGCACCTAACTGACTGTATCTGCTTCTCCAGGTCTGCCATTTTGGCCTCAAGGGAGCAAACTCGTTCCCTGAGAACCAGGAGCTCCTTGCACTGGGCACACACGCAAGACTTCTGTCCAGTGGGCAGATAGTCATACATGTGACACTGTGCAAAACACTGGATAGCCCCCAACCCCCTGCTGGCATTCTGGCTTCATAATTTCTTTTAAAATAATAATTATATATAATCCCCCTTTTAAAACCCTTTGTATGTATGTGGTTCTCCTTGTAGAAGTCTACTTACCTTACTGGGAACCCAAGGAGACTAAGGCTTTCTAGCTCTTCTTGGGGTTCTTACAGAGTCCTTAGTCTAAGAATCCTTTGGCTCTCACCCTTCAGTTCATGCCTGTGGCAAGGTGGTGCCTTAAATAGAAGCTTCCCCCAGCAGAGGGTGTGTCCAGCAGCTATTCAAATTCACCCAGGCACTCAATTACAGTCAAACAATGACCCTTTCACACCCTATCACAAGCAGCCAGGACTCTGCAACAACTCACAACTCACCCACACACTCCCAAACGCAGTCCCCCCACACAGTACCCTCTCAACTAAATCACCTCAGCTGAAAGTAAATAAAAAACACTCACCCCTCTAGCAGCTCTATCTCCTGCTCCTTCTCAGAGCTCAGCTGGGTCAGCTCTGCTTCTAGCAAGGTGTTTGCTTCATTGAAATAGATATGCTCATAGATGTATGCGCTTGGGTGTACCTGTTAAAATTCCAGAGATCAAAACATTGCTAGCCATATTATTCCTTACAGGCATCAAAAGTATGTGGAAGGAGCCTTTGTTCAATGGTAAAAGTATATGTTCTGCTAGTTCAAAGTCTCCAGGTAGCGGGAACGGCCTTTGCCTGACACAAAGGGGAAATGCCAATTAGGGTTGACAGACTAGGCTAAGTGGAACATTCATGTGGCTCACTTGTATGATGGCTGTATTGTCAGGTGGGAGCACTGGAAGTTCCAGTGACTACTGAATACAGAATATATCAGTGGCCTCTGACCTTTATGATGACCAGCTACCATTAGTGTTACACTTTATCATTGTTATTTGCCTTGTTGATTATCTTTGTACCTTGGTCATCTCTATGTAATGGCTTGAGTGAACACTGGAGGATGCAAAAGGCTTGGTGGTGGTCACTTATTAATGGCCCTGCATGACTGCTTGGAAAGATACTTGGACCTTTCCAGAGGTGCAGTGCAAGCTTCCCTTTATTTCACAATTACCCTGATACAATCCTCCTTTGTGGAATAGGCTGGAAAGTTCCCTCATGTCCCATGGCTGAGCTTTCTTCCTCCAGCTCCCCTTTTCTGTTGCCTACCCTAGGCTTCTCAGGGTGGCATCTCTTAAGACCCACCCTAGACCTGGACTTGTACCCCTGGTTTCCGATCCTGCTCGCTCTCCCTGCCAATACACAGCCTGTTATGTATTGAGCCTGAGCCATCCCTGAATGTGGACCTTGAATTGGGTGAGCTTGCTCCCCAAGAGCAATAGCTGACCAGGATCCTGACCAATAGATAAATAGTGTAATGTAAATAGTGTAATGTAAATAGCCTATCCTTGGGACAGGGGGTGTGGGGTGTGTGGTGTTTGCATGCTTTATAAGCAGGGCTCAAACCCTGGTGGGTGTCGTTGTTCTGTTCCTGAAATCACTAAATAAACTAGAGCTGATCTAGAACCCAGTATTTAACATTGGCAACAAGGATGGGATCCTGTTGAGCCAGCCCAGCGCCCACCAGCACCACACCATGCACTGAACACCAGTGCCATGTGCATCACATCGCTCCCAGGACCACGGCTGCCGCTCCAGGACACTTAGACGCATTCGACATCAACACTGGGAGTCTTACATCTCCCAGATTGAGGAGGAGGAAAAGAAGCATGCCACCTTCTTCTGAGTCTGCGGATGCTCAGCCTTTGAGATGGCTCGCTGATTGCCAGGATACCTCCTCCACTGCCCAGGGAAGGCCATGGGACATGCTGATGCCCTCAGTCCCCTGCCCCTCTGCTCCTGCGATCCCAACCCTGCTCCCGCACACCAAATCTTCCCAACAGCCCTCTGCAGGTAACTGACATGTCCTGCCACACCACATTTTGGACTGGGAGGGGAAGGAGATGGCCCACCAGCTGGGTGGGCCTGGAATTTGCAACTTTCTCCTCCTGCCAGGATGAATTATCAGCTCACAAGGGTTGTCTACTGTGGTGGAGCCGGGTGGTGATCCCTTCTCTCTTGCACCAGCAAGTGCTATTGGCCCTGCATGAGATGCACCCTGGGATCATGAGGATGAAGGCACTGGCCCAAAGCTATGTGTGGTGGCCAGGCATGGACAATGAGATAGAGGTCTGGGTCAAGCACTGCCAGGCCTGCCAAGAAACCCAACTGGAACGACCCAGGGCACCAGTGCAGCAGTGGGAATCCACCCACAAACCATGGTCCCGGCTACACCTGGACTTTGCTGGCTCCTTCCAAAGGCAAATATTCTTTGTTTTGGTGGACTCATACACCAAATGGTTGGAGGTCATGCCTGTTGCCTCCACCTCCTCCAAAGCAGCGATCTGGGCCCTCAGACGTATATTCAATACACATGGCCTGCCTGACATGGTAGTGACTGACAACGGGACAGCCTTCACATTGGGGAAATTCCAAGAATTTATAGGCCACTACCTCATCCAACACATCCACTCTGCTCCCTTCCACCCAGCCACTAGTGGACAAGCGGAGAGGATGGTGCAGACCATGAAGGAGTCACTCTGGTGAATCATCCATGGAGACTGGGACCATAGACTCGCAGCCTTCCTTTTTCGCCACCAGATGACCCCTAGCACCACCACTGGTCACAGCCCAGCGGAACTCCTCATGGGCAGGTGTATAACCACCCGACTGGACAGACTGCACCCAAATCGAGCCTCTGAGCCTCGCCAGGCAACGGAGAACCAGGAAGCACCCAGAGGATTTTTCCCCAGCGACTCCGTCTACGTGAGTAACTTTTCCAGCGGTCCTGCCTTGGTTCTCACCAAAGTCAACTGAGTTACTGGCCTTCCGTCATATGAGGTATCGACTGACGACAGTCAGGTTCTCCATAGACACATAGCCCAGCTTCACCACCGTCTACTTCCAGCTGACCCAGAGTCACCATCAGCAGCAGTGGAAGACTACGATGAGGGACAGCCATGACCACAGGAGCTGGAGACTACAAGTGAGTTTCAGCCTGACAGCACACAGCCTGACCGCCAGGGGGGTGAAACACCAGACCAAGTGGCCAGGGACTCTCCAGCTGTCACATCAGCCCCACAACCTTTCACCAGCACTGTGCCTGGAACGTCAGGCCAAGATCCTGTAACCGCGACCCCTCAGCCCGAGTCATGACGTTCAAACTGAGAATGACACCAACCAGCATACCTAAGAGACTATGTCTGTTAAGGTGTTTTGGAACTTGAGGGGTGTTATGTATTGAGCCTGAGCCATCCCTGAATGTGGAACTGGGTGAGCTTGCTCCTCAAGAACAATAGCTGACCAGGATCCTGGAACTGACCAATAGATAAGTAGTGTAATGTAAATAGCCTATCCTTGGGACTGGGTGTGTGGGGGGTGTGGTGTTTGCATGCTTTATAAGCAGGGCTCAGATCCTGCTGGGTGTCATTGTTGTGTTCCTGAAATCACTAAATAAACTAGAGCGGATCACTGCAATGCGTCTAGAACCCAGTATTTAACACAGCCCCAGTGGTATCCTCTCCTCTCCCATCACAGCTCTAAAGGCTGATTGGAACCTGGCCACACTTGGACTCTAGGCCTCCAGGGTAGAGCCTGTGGAGAATCCTTTGGTTCTGGGCAGCTTTTCACCTAGGAAGGGCTCCCGTTGCTCTCTCCCTTGGCATTGCCTGGCCAGCCCTGTCAGTTTGTCAGTAGAAAGGCTGCCTTGGTTCCTTTGAAATGTTGTCATTAAATTCATTTAAATTCTTGTGTTTATGTTCTCTTACCATGGTTTCTTCCAGTTACCCCAGAAATTGATTTCTCTACTGAACAGAAGCTGTGCACTTCATTATAGAGACCTGTATCAACTATGATTGTTATAGGAGCTAATCCAGTTAATTGTGCAATTTTTTTGAAAGAGTAAGCCTACAGAGAAAATAATACACACCTTGACATTCCTAGATGAAAAGCATCTCCTTGGTGCTGCTGACTCCCCCCTCTAGCACCATAATTACAAGGCTCCACCCTTCCCCATTTATTGTCCCAATGAAATGCTGACAGTTGCATTGGCTTTGGTTTCATAGGGATGCTGCGATGGACCTTGCACAAGAAAATTGACAGGAATCTGAGCAATGGAGTCCTCTTGGTCAAAATCTTGGTGAAAGAATTGGAAAGGGTAAGAATGAGCAGCAGAGAGAAAGAAGGGTTTGGAGTACTCTTGGCAGCACACATTGCTTATTGCTCACCCTTTTCCTGCATGTTTTGAATGGGTATCAACCTCGCTTTCTTACCTCCTTAGGGCATTGAACAGCCTTTCTGCACATCGCAGTTATGTAAAAAGCCTAAACTGTGCCTTTCACTGCAATCCCTGAATCTGAACAGTCTTTCTACCTGCTCCACAAACCACTTTCAGAAAAGTGCCTAAGCACAGTGTCTCTTGACTTTAAAAGCAAGTAACCCATTGTCCTTTGTTGTCAAAAGGTTTGGAATAGTACCATGTGTCAGAACATCGCAGGCTTCAGAGACAAGGTCTGATAAATAGCTACTTAAGTGCCTGTATCAAGGCTCACTATTTCAAATAACCAGCCAGGGAACAATAGTTTTTTTCCCTCCTCTGCCTTATCTTGATTTCTGTGGAGACAAGGCTACAGACTCCCTGCCTGGTACTGAGTATTGTACTAATGTGTATCCATCCTTTTTGTTCTGTATGAAAGCCCCCCTGTCCAGTGAATGGCCTCCAAAAGTCAAGAGGGGAAAAGGTTAGGGACTTCAGAGTGTGGAACTGCATACAAGAAGCAGCCTTAGCCACCTCAAACAAGGCTGAGAGCATGCCTGATAAGGCGACAAGCAGGGCCCATTCTCCGCTCAGCCTGTTTTTGGCATCGTTCAGAATCTCTGCAATGTTTATTGGGAACCAGCTGGTCTTCCATCCAGGAAGTGTTCATAAATGTTTATTGTGCATCTTCCTGCTGCTTGAGCCCTTTAATTATCTCTTCAGTAATAATTCTTTCTGGGGAACCACTTGTGGTGTGCATGCTTATTTCCAGTTAGAGAATCCAGCCAATAAATCATGAAAAATGAACATATTGGGGGAGGGTGGCCTCAACCTCTGCAGACTCTTCCAAAGATGTGTTTAGCCCTCATATGAGAACAAGGTGCAGTTCACATGGAGAGTGATTGTGTGCACAGACTTTGTTCAGACCTTTGGGTGAATGTGTGGAGGCTGGAGCTGGGGACTGTGGGCACAATCGCCCCAATGTATTCATTCTGTTTGATATACTGAGTGAACAGTGTCCCTGCTGAAAATAAACCGGACTCAGACCTTGTTCTGCTGCTTCAGATCAACACGGCTGCCCACCGGAATCTATGCAACGTTTTATAATGTGCCAAAATGCTTCCATTGTATTCCTTTCAAGGCACTTGCTTATCCTCCGCTACAAAGGAAACAAAGTATGAAATACTGGAAAACAATTAATTTTCTTTGACAAATATTATCAGTCAGTTAAGTAAAGGTAAAGGTTCCCTTGCTCGAAAGCCAGTCGAATCCGACTCTAGGGTTGCGGTGCTCATCTCCGTTTCAAAGCCGAAGAGCCAGCGCTGTCCGAAGACGTTTCCGTGGTCATGTGGCCGGCATGACTAAACACCGAGGCGCACGGAACGCTGTTACCTTCCCACCGAAGTGGTATCTATTTATCTACTTGCAATTTCTTGCTTTCGAACTGCTGGGTTGGCAGGAGCTGGAACTAGAGATGGGAGCTCACTCCATCATGCGGCACCTGGGTCTCGAACTGCTGAACTACTGACCTTCCACAGCCTGCAGTTCAGCATCTTAACCACTTGAGCCACCGCAGCTCCAATCAGACAGTTACACAGCAATTATTTATTGTACAAAGTGCTTTGCAATATTTTGCTCATTTATCTCTTCAACAGCTTGGTAGTGGTAGTTGCTATTCCTGTTGTATAACTGGGAAGACATAATGACTTGTCCAAGGCCAATTAATGACCTTGTAGGAATCTGAACATAGATCTCAGTGGGTTTGGACCAGTGTTCCCTCTAAGCTGAGTTAGTGTGAGCTAGCTCACAGTTTTTTAGCCTCTGGCTCACACATTTTTGTCTTAGCTCAGGAAGGATGGCTCCAGAGCAAGCTAATTTATGCAGTAGCCAAATCACTCACTCACAACTTTAATGCCAGCAGCTCAGAAAGTAGAATCTTTGCTCACAAGACTCCACAGCTTAGAGGGAACATTAGTTTGGACTCTCCCCAGTGCTATCGATTAGTGTGTGTTAGCTTCTTGTAATTCTGGTAGCTCTCCAGGCCCCACCTGGATGTTGACAACCTTAGAGGAAGGTGACTTTGTTCTGAACACACACCTCAGCAAAGATCTGACCAGCTCCATGGTAATGTCTCACATACAGCTGCCACTCGTTGGGGTGCTCCTGTGTTTTTAAATAGCTATTGATTTAGTGATCTGGCTATTTACTCTCCTCCTCCAGAGGCTGTGGTAGCCATAAAGTGCCAAACTCAGTTTCAGCTTATTAGACGAGTTAGAAACATAATCATGTGCTTTCTCCAGGCAGAAAGATATGGCTATCGACAATATATCATCCCCTTGCTTCATACGCTGATGTACACCCTGGTGAAGGTAAGAACCGTATTTATGGAGCTATAACATCTGCGGATATCAGTGCTGTACTCCACTGAGGTTGATGTGATGTGCCACATTATGCTATGGCACAGTTTTCTAGCTTGAAACACTATGGGGTGATGTCAGGGCTCTGCCCAAGAATCTGTTTTGAATTCCAGGACTAGGTAAAATCAAGAATGGCTCTAAGTATGTGTAGTATGCATTTCTGACACCACTGAGAGCACACATCCATTGTTTTCGAGCCAAAATGCTGGGACTTCTAGAACATTCCTGTTTAGAAATAATTAAGCACTGGATGCTGACACGGTGTGCTTGTGTTTATAGAAGCAGACAAGAGGGTGAAATGGATTTATGAATTCTGTTTCTTCTGCTGCTGTTCCATTCATACATTTAAAAGAATCAATTCACAATGTCTTTAAAAATCAATAGTTAAAAAACCTGTGTTGGAATCCAGATGACTAATGCCCCTTGCGTAACCAGACTTTTGTAATAGTTCATGTCTACGTGCTTACAATATCCATAATTTGTTAATTCTATAAAGGCACCTGCAAAGGCATGTTCAGTAGTGATAACATCCTCTTTTTTCCATTGTATTCAGGCACCTGAGGAGAATAGAATTTAAATTTTCTCATTGGGGAAAGATGTGTAAGATAAAGAAATATAACCAGAGGTCATTTTGGGGGGGATCGCGAGTGATCGCAGTTCCCCCGGGTGAGGTACGGGGGCGGGGCACATGATGAAGCCCCACCCCCGCTTCCGGCCGCCCCGCTTCCAGCCCTCATTCATCCAGGAGGAGGCAGGAGAAGAGGGAGGGTAAGTTGCTTCCTCCCTGCTTCTCCCCACCCCTGCCTGCCTGGGGCCAGGGAGGGCCTTCGCGGGGCTTCCTTGCACTCCTGCCGGCCTTGCAGGTCCACCGCCGGGCCCCTCATGGGGCTCGGCAGTGGAGCTGCAAGGCCGGTGGCGGCGGCCGGGACCATTGGGGGCGGGGTGTGTGGCCTTGTGACACACTTCCGGTGATGTCAGGGGGTGTGGCCTTATGATACACTTCCGGTGATGTCAGGGGGTGTGGCATATGCTAATGAGTTATGCTAATGAGTTCCCCTAGCTCTTTTTCTACGAAACGACCCCTGAACATAACACATACTGATGCATAACAGCAGGAGAAATAAATCGTGGTCTAGAATAACAAGACCACACTGCCAAGCATCCAGAGTTTATTGTACATAAAAGGGAAATCTTACAAATAATGTGTGGAATTTCTACATTTGAGAATGTAAATAAAAAGTTGTGGGGGAAATTGTAGTGGGGGACAATGGCAAATTTATTTGCAATGATCCAGAGTTCAAACCTTTTTGGAAATTTAGCACATGCTTCATTTTAATTCAAGTTGCTGTTATTGACCTTTAAAGCCCTGTACAGCCTGGGGCCAACTTAAGGGGATATACTGGGTCTCCTGGAAAGAACCCTCGGGAAGCTTCCTGGTCCTCTGTGGACGCACTGTGCTCCGGGGCCCTATCCGGATGGAGGCAGTCTAGCCAGGTGGTGAGGCGCCATCCCAGTAGTAGCTCCGCTGGGCTGCAGCCTGTGGTGGAATGGGGTGTCATTCGCTGACCGAATAGGAAGGCGGCTAGCTTGTAGTCCCAGTCCCCCTTGTCCATGCGACACAGGGAGTCTTTCATAGTCCAGACCATGCACTCGGCTTGGCCGTTGGTGGTGGGTTGAAAAGGAGCCGAGTGGATGTGCCTGATCCTGTAATACGGCATGAACTCCTGGAACTCCGAGGAGGTGAAGGCCGTGCTGTTGTCTGTCACCAGGGAGTCTGGTATCCCGTGAGTACTAAAGATCCGCCACACTGCGCGGATGGCTGAGCGAGATGACTTGGAGGTCACTGGGACCACCTCCAACCACTTTGTGTATGCATCAACTAAGATAAAGAAAATTTGTCCTTGGAAAGGCCCCGCAAAGTCCGAGTGACGCCTAACCCTGGGTTTGTGTGAAGACTCCCATGGCCGCACCGGCGCCCTCGGCTGAGCACACTTCAGGCCGAGCTGGGTGCCGTACCTGGTGAGCCTCCTCATTGTCCAACACATTGGAGTCTTGGGAGTTGATGGCCTGGTGTGCAGTGGTGGCCTGACAATCCTGTTGGGATTTCTCAAAAGCGGTAGCTGCCCGGAGTGCCTTGTTGATCTTTGGGTCCTCCAGGCCGATGAGCTTCCTTCTCAGTTTCCGTTCCCGGACCCCCGGGAACCAAGGCTAAAAAAATTTTTTTAAAGAAAAACAAACATTAATCCTTGCACAGCTATTCTACAAAAGACAGCCTATGGATCTTGGTCAAACCATTTCCTCTATTCAGATGGGATGCTGAACCCAGACTCCATTCAACAGGAGGTGTGAATTCTAGTGAGTTCCAATGAGAATTACTGTATAGAATCAAGAATGCAGGTCAGCCATTGACCTTCAACAAAGAGGCACATCTTCTTCCAGATGAGAACTGCTTTCCTCTAGACTGAAGCTGCATGTTTATGATTTCTGCTATAAATTTTACTCTCCATTTGTTTCTGTAGACATCTGGCATTCATCCTGATTATTTGAATGTGGGGGTGTATGATTTCTGCAAGAAGTTACTTACCCTGCCCAAACCTTACTGCACCATTGGGCTGCACTATGCTCAGCAGTTAAAACTGGAAAGGACAGTACCAGGTATGTAATATTTCTTTTGATGTGTTCAATTCATTTCCGTAGTGCCTGAGAAGTGTGTATGGGAGGGATTATTTGAGGGCTATATCCAATGAGATGTACATGTGCATGAAGATTACTTTCATACAAAGGGTTTTTCCCTGCTTTTGCTTCTGTACTGGAATGCCTTTGGGGGGAGCAGAGGGACACTGTACTCTTTCCAGGTTTTTCCTGTCCTCAATTTACT